TTTTTAGGCGAAGGATAATTTATTTTGATATTAACTACCTTCATGTTAGGCGCACTTTAATTATGCTAGATTAAAAAAAAAAATCATATTTAAAAGGGCACTTTTTTGAAAGGGGGTGTCGACCGCACCCATCGACCCCCCCCCCACGGTACGCCCCTGGTGTTTAAGATTTTAGACTTTAAACAAAAAATACACACAATGCATACATGCCAAGTTCAACTTTTGTTGCATGCCCCTCTCCTCCGGAATGTTTTTAACCTAGGTACCCAGAAATGCATGCTATGCTACTTTAGGGTTGTATTTTTACAACTGAGAATCCACATCTTTTCTAGAGAATGCATATTTCTGCAGTCATGATCGAACTTATTCGACTATCTATACGCGCATGGCGGCTGGCAATTCTTTGATCCTATTGTTGCAGCTACTTTGATATGATCAGATCTGATAAAAAAACTAGTAAGAGAAATATTTAAATTTTTACCGACCATTATCAGAATTGATCAATAAAGCCCCGGTATTCAACCCCCCGGCCCGCGGGCCAACTCTGGCCAAAGATTCTGACCCGGCCGGCCCACGCAACATAGCTAAAAATAAATCATTTTCCTGCCGATTTTTAGAAAAAGTTTTTCAGTTCATAGAAACACCACCAAGCAGCTCCCCTATCTAGCATTGTTTACAAGAGTGTGGCTTTTTCTGAGTGTAGCTCACTGTATCTAGTATTGACACGGAGAGGGGGAGACTAAAGAATATATGAGATACCATTAAATAAAAAATAAAAAAGTAAAATTATATGATAAATAATGAAAGACATTACAAAAAATAATATTATCTCTAAACATTTTTAGTCCGACTTGTGCTCTTTTTTAAAGACCTATGTTGTCAATTGGTCATTTAAAAAAATTCTGAAGACGATCAAATAAAGAAATTTGTACCTGACATGATTTACTCTGCCAAAAAACTGTAACATGTGTAATATGCCCAGCCCATGATATTGTAGGCAGCTCCATTTGATTTCATTAGAGTGTAATGCTGCGTTCATTACAACTTGTGAAAACTGATTTCAGAACTTGTAACATGCGAGTAAACAAGAAGAGTGCATTCATTTGACAAACACTAAATGGCTGTTTTCACTATTGCAATGTGTTTGAAAATAAAATATACAAAAAACCTTTTTTTTTTTAATCTGAAATAATATTACTTATACAAATTTGAAAAAATATGTTGGGTTGCAAATAAAAAACATACAAACAAAACTCTTTTTTTATCTGAAATAATATTACTTAATTAATAAATTGCAATAAATACCTATGCTCGTTGTGCATAGATACACCCGCCATTTTCCACACTACTTGTGTAATTCGAGGAAGAGAATTCTACTCGAGTTCACAACTTGTGTTTACAAGTTCACCAACGAGATGAACGCGTTTCACAAGTTGTGAACCTGGGAAACACCGACTTCACAAGTTCTAATGAACGCAGCATTAAAAAGCCAACCCAACTTTACCCTGTATTTTTGTGTAAGAATGTATAATAACAAAACCAATCCTACTTTTAAGTACAGTAGATGATAATATTTAGCGAGAGAGCTACAGTACTGTACAGATTATATTTTTTTATTATAGGCAATATTACATTTATGCGTGAGATTTTGATTCTTCAGCGCGAGTGCTAGGACAGACCTCAAACATGAATCTCACTCCGAATGCTTGAGCCTTGGCGTGTATGACAATGTTGGTGCATCGATTGCATCAGTGACCTGACTTCCTGTGTATCAACATTATGGATCAGCAGAGACTTTTTATACCTTGCTTTCTATAGAAAGCTGGCTGGTTTAAGCTATCTAACTTGAATTAGCCTTATGTGTGGTATTGTTATGCTAATGAACCAGATAAGCACAATCTGCACATGCTTAGAAAAACAAAACTTTCCTTAGCCACACTGCTTATCGGCTAGGCGTATAGCATATATCCTTTATAATCAATCATAAAATTGCCGATATTTTACTGTTAAGCGATCATAATATGTCCTTAAAAGTTTGACCTGAATTGTCCTGGAAATTTGCTTGTTTAAAAACATACGAACCCTGTGAATTATAGTCTTGGCAAATCCGACTACCAAATGGCCTTTAACAAAGTACTTTAGGCCTTAAAACTATTGAACTGTGCTCGTTTCATTCTGAATTCACAGTTTTTGTCTCCAGTTGGGGTTTTTTATTTAAAAATGCAAATTATATTTGTAATTGAATTATGTTTTAATTGTATTCGTAGGCCCTAAATTTAAGATTTATATTTGTAAATGGGAGTAACTGTAATTAAAATTGTTATTCAACATAGAAATTTAAATTATATTTATATCTATTCTAAGTGTCAAAAAGTGCACAAACCATTGGTGTAGTGCAACAAGACTATCAACAGTAGGCTACACTAATAATGACAAGATGACATTATGTCAATTTTCTCCTCTATTCATCATTCGCTTATAGTTCAAAACCCACTTTCTTAAAACTAATGGAAAGAACAACAATTACGAATGACTAAGGTAAAAATAAATTATTATTTTTATGAACGTAGGTATATGTTTAATTACAAATTCTTAATCTAAAATGCAAATTGTTAGCAGAAAATAGGAAATTTTTAAGTAATTCTTTGTTCAATTTATACCTATTAATTTCAGCATTCAATGAACCTAATTAAAATTGAAAACAATTTTCTCAGTTCAAATAGCTGTAGGCAGTTGGCAATGAAAACAAAATCAAAACTGTTAAAAAATAAATTTTTGAAATTGTTCTGTGATTGAAAGTGATTATCTCAGTACCTACCAGACTGGAAAATAATGTAAATCGGCATTTCACACAAAGAAAGAACAAAGATTTTTAATTTAGAGTATAGACCTGTACACAAAATTGAAAAATATTTATTATGTAGAATACTGGTTGCAGGCACAGTTGCTCAAATCAAAAAACACAAACTGTATTAATTGTATGGTCACTACATACTAAAATTAAGAAGATTTAAATATGATTTAAAACAGTCTAATTAATTAAAACGTATAAAATCAAAACTGTTAAAAAATAAATTTTTGAAATTGTTCTGTGATTGAAAGTGATTATCTCAGTACCTACCAGACTGGAAAATAATGTAAATCGGCATTTCACACAAAGAAAGAACAAAGATTTTTAATTTAGAGTATAGACCTGTACACAAAATTGAAAAATATTTATTATGTAGAATACTGGTTGCAGGCACAGTTGCTCAAATCAAAAAACACAAACTGTATTAATTGTATGGTCACTACATACTAAAATTAAGATTTAAATATGATTTAAAACAGTCTAATTTAAAACGTATTTCACATTTTTAAATTAGTTGTAAAATAATCAACTTTAGTAAGGCAAACTATTATAGCTATCATTGTTCTGTAGGCATGTATCAAGTAAGTAATTTGAAATACCTGTTGGTCCTACAAATAATGCTTCTGAGACGCCTTCCTGCCCTAAACCAATTATACTTGTTTTTTCAAGTTTGGGTAAAAAT